GTATAGTCAATTCGATTTGAAAGCAAGAAACCTTGTCTTATTTCCCCCTCTGTAAATATCTGTTATATCTGTAGCATATGGCACTGGTAATAAGTGTTTAATTTTTGTATATATACCTTTGTTTTTGTGGCCCACCTAGCTGTCTATGTCTATGTGTTTTCCATTTACTGGCATGTCCTTGTTTATTATTCATACGCAACTTTTGCCGCAAACTTTTGTGTCACTTTGAGTTATCTTCCAGGGAAAAAAGGGGGAATTGCGGCTTGCCGAAAACTTTGGAGCACATCGAAGGGCCCGAAAAACCACCGGGCAGGTGTCAAGTGGGCGTGCGAGTTTTTCATTACGATTGGGGGCGTGCCCATCCCGAAGGATCCCGATCCCCATCCCGAAATCAAACCCGAACCCCGGTGACTTTTGTCTTGGCGGCAAGTTGTCAGCAACAGGTGCTGTGGCCCTTTAATTGACAGCTGGGAGGCATAAAATGCTCGAAATGTCGAAAATTAGAAAACTTTTAACAACAATTCCTGCCTTGAATTCGGGGCTCTCTTTGCGGGGGCCTTCGTCATTATTATTATCGACGACGGGCCAGAAAGTTTTCAAGTGCTTAGGCTTTTATCGCCGCGGCGCCTGCCTGATGCCTGATAAACTCCAATAATCCAGCAAGTACATGTGCCTGCTTACCTGTAGATAAATATAAACATCCCCCCAGACTTCCCCCACCTTCCCATACTTACATATAAGGCAGTCGCAACACGAATTCGATTTCCACAGATGAAAAGTGTGCGGCATAATGTAATATTTTTCCTTTTCGCTCGTAAAAAGTTACCAAGCAACAGTTCGCAGTTTCGGGATGCGAGTGTATGTGTGTTTGGGCTCCATTTCCGCTCGCAACACGTTATTGCAATATGGCGGCTTCCGCTGCAGATCCGCCATGGAGAAAGTCAATTCGGACGTGTGGTTGTTGCTGCTGCGCATGTACACGCCATGAATATGTTATGAAGCCACGATATTACCAACTACTAGCACACGGGAAAAAACCGAAACCAATGGGGGATTCACTGGAGCCGATTCGGTAAATTACAATGATTTGCAACACTTCGGAACAATGTACAGTTTAGAAGGAGTGAAATAAAGTGGGTTAGTCTTTTGTAACTTTTTCTAACAGTCGAAATTTATCAAAGTAATCAATACTATCAAGGGTGGATCGAAAAGGTCTAGGATTTCGAAATAATATTTATAGGTGTCTAAAAGCATGCTACACAAAAGTTACCAGGTTCATTACCAATTGTATTTTTGATAGCATACTTTTGGATGCCTTTGTATATGATTTAAAGCCCCTACGAATTTTTAATTCAATATTCATATATATTAATTTGTAACAATAAGAAGTAATGTTCTGGTAAAAGAGGTTAAAAGAAAACTGGGAGAAGATATACCAATATATGAAAGAATTTATATAATACCTAATTTTGGTCAAGTCATATAAGATGATATATGTTTGGAACCTGTAAAGAATAGTTGGCTCTTTTTTTCTGGGTGCACACACATATGCATACAGTAACGTAGTACTAGTTTCAGCAACAATCGCAGGACCTTCATGCGCAACTGCGCCGCAATGACTTCCGTTTTGGGGCATACAAAACACTAGACAGAGGCCCCCGAGCAGATTGCATTTGCGGTCCCCTTTGTTTATCTGTGCATGTGTGCTCTTCCTTTTGTAAATAGTGAACACATGCACATCGGTGTTTCAGTGTTTCAGTGTTTCAGAGTTCCAGTGTGCGAACATCATAATTTGCATTATATTTATGTGTGCCTGCTTTTCAGTTTCGTATTTCGTATTTATGTTTGTGTTTTTGGCCCCTAGGGGCACCATGCATTGCAATTTAACTAGCATGCTCAACCCACCACCCCTTCGTTCTCACTCGTTTAATTAGTTTTATTTACGTTTTGATTGCTTTAATTTGTTGTTCAGTTATGTACACTCACACACACATCCAGAACACAACATAAAAGCGAAACAAACACGCAAATTTTCAGAAAACAAGCCAGCCGTACAACTGTAAATAGGCAAAAAGGCGAACAAAATGCTTTTGTTTAGGCACTAGGCTGATAAATCTAGACATATACCATATACTCCTAGCGATTGTTGAGAGTTGAATAGCGGCAGGCAATCGCAGACCGAGATATTTGAGAACCGAGAACTAACCACCCTTTTGATACCCGCCGCAGGAGCAAATTGCCCGCGAGAAGATGGTCACCGGGAGGGTGCAGATCCAGGTGTGGTACCATGCGGAGCGCAACGAGCTGGTCGTCTCCCTGATGGCCGGCGACGACCTGGCATTGCGGGATGAGGCCTACGGACACGGCAATCTGCCCGAGGCGTACGCCAAGGTCCGCATCCTGCCGAAATGGTGAGTGAAGTCCCTGTTTGGGCGCCATGTTAGCCTTAATATTCCGGAGACCCATGTTATACCTACCGTTTTTATGTATTTCTAAGGAAAACTTTATAGCTTTTCTGCATTCATTTTAATAGTCTAATAGTTTGCCTTATTTATTTAAAGACCCTGCTCGGGCGCCATGTTAGCCCTACTCATTTTGTAAAATTTTTTAAAAATTCGTATATTTTTGTAGCTCTAAGCTATAACTCTGAATTGTGTTAACCAGAACATGAAATACATTTCCCATCTGCAGCGGTGATGGCAGCGTGCAGCAAACGGAGGTCAGCCGACCCACACAGAACCCCATTTGGAACGCCACACTGACCTTCGGTCATGTGAAGGCCGACACCTTGATGGATCGCTACATAGACATTCAGCTGTGGGACCTGGTGCCCCACACCGAGTCCATTTTCCTGGGCGAGTGTAGCATCGAGCTGCAGCAGGCCTTCCTCGACGACCAGGCCATCTGGTGCCGCCTGGAGGATACCAAGGGGCTGCGTGGCATTAGCATCAGCAAGTCGCCGAGTGTTTCGCCCCGCGGCTCCATTGCAGCCGGAGCCGGAGCACCCAGTGGCGATGTGACCCGGCTGCTGCGTCGCGACTACAACATGCAGCGCTCCAACTCCGATGACGTAGACTCCATCGGAGATGGAACCTCGCTGCTGCATCCGGATACCGCCTGGATAGCTGGCTCGCGACGCGGCTCCTCACAATCGGAAACCATGGAGGTGGAGGTCTACCAGCTGGGCAAGGACTTCTCGCGCTCATTGCCGGGCTCGCGTCGATCGAGCTTCCAGGATGCCGAGAAAAATAGGCTGGAGGAGGACGCCATGGCCACGCCTCCCACCTCTTATTTGGTGGGACGGCGCCGTTCGTCCGTGGCTCGACGCGACCCGGATGAGATCTTGAAATCCTTGAAGGCTGTCCGCGGCGAGCTGGGGCGCACCATGAGTCTGGGAACCGAGCAGCACAAGCGCATGGGATCGAGACGTGAGTAGAGGGGATTACGTTCAAAAGTGGTCAATCGGAGAAGCAATCAAAGGTGAAATGATGTAATGCCCAAGAACACTGGCGTATAGCACAATTATGTGACTGATTCTGGATGATTTTGATATTTAAAATTTTTGTACATGTTTATTCATGTCCAAAACCGTCCCTGTTTGGGCGCCATGTTCTTAATGAAATCAGTTAAAGAGAGACTTTAAAAATCTTTTTTCCAAATTTTCAATTACTTTTTGCTTCTTTTGTCAGGCTTAGTTATGCTATAAGCTAAATGCTCATGGGAATTATTTTATGTCATCGGATTCTGAGTGGGAATGGGGTATTTAAAACCGAGATCTAAAACTCTTCCTGCAAGAGATCTCTTGCTACCTTCTATTTTTCTATCTGCTATATTCCTGTGTCTCTCTCTCTCTGCATTTCCTTTAATCCCCCACAAAAATCCCCAACTGTGCCTTGCTGCTATATGCTATGTGGACACCCACTATATCTGACATTGCATCTCACACACTCACATATATTTACAACTGTCTTTCTCTAATAACTTCTTCCATATCTTTCCCACTATTAGCCACAATATCGGTGTCGCATTATCAAAGCTTTGACACACCCTACACAAACTGGACAAAACACTAAATGAAATGCCCAGCCAAGCCACACATAACTTAATTAAATCAAAAGCAAATAAACAAACGCATAAAGCACTAACTAAAGCCACTTATTTAAAGCCCTCAGCACCTGTCAGTCACTCGTAATTCTTTTGCTTAATCTAATGAAAAGGGCTCGCTCGAGAGCCACTTACACACTGCACCACCAACAGAGCAACCACAAATGGTAGAAATCTGCAAGACCGAAAACCAAAAACCTTAAAACCTTTGTAAATTATACAAGAAACCAAAAATAGGAATACCTGCAAATTGAGCTTAGCAGCAAGTATTTAAACAAAAAGTAAAATGCATTAAGGCAAGACTACAGTATGTACCACACTATAAAACACCACCAACAAAAAACATCACTCACCACTGGTAAGAATGCAAAATGAACTTGAGTTGAGATTGACATTGAGTTGCGTTTGGCATTTTGGTTTCTTCTTTTTCCACCTTAATTAGCGCCATATACCTGGAGTTCTTGATTCCAGCTAGCTGCATGCATGCCACTTAATTAGCGCCCACTTTCATACACAATTACTTCGTAGTATCCGTCTATATATACACAGGTGCCTCGCTTGCATGTTTGCGAGCTGCGAAAAAGCGAAAAAGCCGAAATCTCATTACACACTCATCCAGGCTCACGTACTCCCCGATAATCCAGTGGAGGAGTGTCCTGGGACCTGGGATCTGGGGATCTGGGACCTGGAAACTTCTCGTCTCGTCTGTGCAGCTGGGCTGGGTCTTATTTAAGCTTATTGATGCTATTTTCACAGCCCAAGCAAAAAAAAGAAGTAAAAGTTGCCAAAACTGTACAAGCGAACAAAAGCCAGCAAATTTGTGTTTAAAATGCAAAGCTCAAAAGGGGAAGACCCCCTATATTACCTGTTGGCTTCGCAACAGTTCGCCGCCCTCATAAACCCTTCAACGCCCCGTCGAAATAGCTCAGCCTTGAAATTAACTTTTCAAAAGCGAAGGAAATGCGAAATATGAAAACTCAGAGACAGAAAATGAAACGCGATAACAGAACAAAGCCGAATTTCGCATTTCCCAGAGCCACAAACAAGCCGTTAAATATGAAAATAAGCAGCGTCTGTGTCTGGAGAAAGTCCTCTACATACTTAGGGATATGTATGTACCCTATACCATTTGTGTATATGCTGTGTCCGGGAATTGACAGCTCCGTTCTCGCTGGGGAACCTTGCTGGCAAGATGTCCCTATTATTGTGCTTGCTCAGCAAAAAGTCGGCTGTCTTTGCCAATATGTTTTCTCGTTTTGCTTCTCGTTTTTCTTTCCCTTATATTCGATTCGATTTTCTTGCTCGACAGTTATTATTAAGCCGCTTAGCGATTGCCTTGCCTTCCGTTTCCGTTTTGCCTTTTACGCACTTTCATATCCGCTGGGCTCAAAAACACACCACAAAAAAAACACACTCGAGACTATATAAACGCAGCTGTCGCCAAGTTTATTTGACGTTTATTTTATTTTTGGCTGGTGCACAAAAATATTTGAACTTTTGCCATAATCCTTTTTCCGATTTGAACGCACTGGGGGCAACAAATTTGTACATCGTGCTGTGCAGTCAATTGATTGAATGATTGATTGACTGATTGGCAGAGCCGATAGGGAAAACCCTTTGCTGGGTACTCACCACCAAAATTTGTATAAAATTATATTAGTATAATAAAAGTTTTTAAGGCAGGGGGAATATTTAAGTCATATTCACTTCTATTTCTTAATTTACACAACAGGCCTCACGCTGTAAAGCTATCCCTTCTGTATTCTGCGGGTAACCAGTACATGAGGATACCGCAGACTGTTGGGATAGTATTTTGGAAACATATAGTTTTTGGTGAAATTCATTGCTTACCTATGAGCACCAGAATAAAAATATTGAAGGTTACATAGCAGAGGTGCGATAATGTATAGCCAACATACAAGCTGGTCATTAGAACACCACAACGACCCATCATTGTGGTAAGGGCAAAGGCCTTACCCCTGAAAAGTAGTAATATTTACCTAGCAGTACATCATATAGAGCTAATATTACCTAAGATGAGTGGGTACGAGATCTATGAGCAGGGAACTTGTCAACCTAATACTGCACGTGGGTGGATCTATTATGGCGAAAAAACTTATGAGTATCAGGGTAGGATGCTTCATAAAGTTTAAGGTCACACATCCCAAAATCGCAATGGCAACATAGAGTAAGATGATTGTTCGACGATTGAGACAAATCAACAGGAGACTGGTAACTATGAAGAGGATCAGAACGACGAATCCGTGGATAATAGGATCCTCCATTTCCTCATAATTTAGGTAGCACTATAAGAAGAAGAGATAGTAAGAACAGCCTGACCTGTACAAAAAAAATACTCACACCGTGACTTGGACTTGTAGTTTTCCCCTGCAAGTGATCACAAACCGTCAGGTGCTCTGTAATATGACTGGTGAGAACTCTGATTCGCAGCATCCAAATGGGCAGAGAGAAGGATCTAAAAATAAAATTAAATAAACGAGATAATAGAGGCCTTGGCCTAACTCACAGTCCAGACAGGGCAAAGAAGACGTAAATGAAAATACACATGATTTTGACATATTTTGTCATAAGAGTCTTGATATCGTGACATGGGCCGAAAGGCCTTGACCTGATCCCAAGGGAAATGCTTTAAGATACGAAACTGTATCAAAATCGAAACCTTACATATGGCGCAGGCGAGGCTGTGTGAGTGAGTTCACACCCAAGCTTTCCAGAGTGACATTCTTGCCCCTGTTCATTCGACAGACCCTCTCCATAACCTTCATGGCCTTCTCCTGCTCGCCAACTGATAGATAGTACTTAGGACTCTCGGGCAGGAAAATTAAAATGATGATTCCGATAACTCCAGGCAGCTGGTTACACAGGAGCAGGATACGCCAGCCACTGGGCTTGATTTCCAGGGGCAACACAGCTCCAGCCAGAGCTGAAGGAAGAAGAAATCTGCTCATCTGAAGAGGGTATTATATAGATTCTTACACGGCACATAGATGAGGCTCAGACCAATGGCATAGCTCATGATGGTCAAGACCCTGGGTCGCAGGGAAACCTTTGTGAACTCGCTCAAGTAGGTCAGGCAACAAACCACGGAGGCCGAGAGACTTGGCAGATCCAGGAGGTCAAGGTAAATACATTTCGGATCGGAAGAATCATCTATACTACTCACAAGAAACCCGACAGCACTCGCAGAACGAAGAATCCCCAGTATTCGGGCATGAAAGCAGACAGAATGGATAATGCATTTGAGCCGATTGCCGTGGTCAAAATCACTTTGCGTCTTCCGTAAACATCCGACATTTGGCCCCATAAAAGACAGGACAACATCTGGGCGGTGAAGTTTCCCGCCATTAACCAGGCCAACCTCTTGTCGTGGATTTCCAGTTCACAACTTGCCCCGGCAAGCACCACTCCGATGCCCAGCTGCTCGTTGGTAATCCAAATTTGCAGCACAAGACAGCAAAATAGAATAATAAACTGCATCTTGCCGAAACCTGTGGGTGAAAAAACCCAAGGATCAGATCATAAAATCATCTGCCGGATGGCGAAGGACTTACCCAACTCGGCAAACACGTCATCAATGTCACTCATCGTAAGCACTCTTTCTAACCATCTTATAATGTATAAATGTATAAAAAGTTCGTAATATTCAAGGTTTGAAAAAATCAAGAATTGAAACTTAAATACGGATTGCTAGGCAAATATAAAATATATCTGCTTTAAAAATGAGTGGTTAAAATAAAGTACTTTTAAGGTAAATTTCTTTATTTGAAAATAAATCTCGACTACACAAGAAAGAATAGCTTCTTGGACTTTCAATCAGTTCTGGAAGATTTATCAGATCAAATTTTTGGGCCTAGACGACGGAGCCCATATTCCAGAGTTGACTAGGTTCTTATTAGCATTTAACAACCAGGAGAAGTCGCGATTACGTTATCTAAAAAAGCAAGTTTAAAACAGTTGAAACGAAAGACCATGCCTTACCTCGTAAAATCCTTAAATTTATATATTTTATATAACAACACGCACATGTAATTTTACTATGATTGAAGGCCTTTGGGCTGAAAGACAGCCAAAACGACGCAACCTGCAAATAAAGAGGTTATCCTTAAAATCCGAACCATAGAGATGTCGATCCAACTAACATGCCAAAACGAAATTGAAAATGTTGAAGGTTACATCGCAGGTGACTCTTATTAGCATTCCAATCGTAGTGCTGCCCAAGACGCCTCCAAAACGCGCCAGGGATCGCACCATACAGATTGCCTTGCCTCGCAAATGGGTGGGCATACAGTCCACCAGCGCCGAGGTGGCCAACGGGATGAGGACACCGGGTAGGACCATCATGAGCGTGAAGAAGATCAGCACCAAGGTGGGCTCCCTAAGAGCATTTAGCGAAACGCCCAGGACGAAAGCAATCAGGATGTGCAAGGCAATCACGTACTTCCTAGGCAGGCACTGCAGCAACAGGGAGGACAGAATGAAACAGCTCATATAGGTCAACCCATAGTAGATGGGATCGATGAAGTTCCTCATCACGTCGTTGCAAGGTGGCGGCTCTGCCTCCGTCCCGTTAACCATCTCAGGCTCACGTTTCATTAAGGTTGGGTTATTATTGATGAGATCGCAAAATCTGTTGTAGCCCGAGTTGTCCATGTTGCGGATAACCGGAAACCAGATGCCCAATCCAATGGATCTGCGAGTAGTTGGGATCATTAGTTTAGTGGATGTAAATATAACTCCTTTTAAAATCCGTTCAACTTATTCTAATGGTTACCTTAACTTATGGTTGCCTTAACATTGGGTTACCAAAACATAGGAATACCTTTAGCCATGGTTACCAGAATGGATTACTTAACATAGGGCTATCTTAAGTAAAGGTTAACTTAACTTATGGTTAACTTCACTTAGAGACATGTTCTATCTTTTGATGAAAGTAAACGTACTTTTTTTTTTGGATAGTTAAAAATACTGTTTAACTAATGGTTCTAAATCTGATTACCATAATTTAACTGATAAAGCCAGAAAAACAGTATAGCCTAGAAAGCGATCTATAATAGGATCAAAATTAGTGTTGTACACTTTAACCACTCACACATAGAATATCCCAAAGATAAGCGTAAGACAGAGAAAAAATTTGCCGACGTAGGGACGCTGGAAGAGCCGTATACTCTCGTCCCACAAATTCTTCCAGAAACCATCCCTAACGATAGTGGCCCTGGGAACTTCTGTTATGGATATGTCGAAGTCCTCCCACTTTTTCCTGTTCATCCGGCAAATCCACTGGAGGGCCGCAATGGCCTTCTCCTCACGCCTGACGGACATGAGAAAGTACGGGGTCTCCGGCACCAGACTGATACCCAAAAGAGCTATCCAGCCAGGGATCTCGATGACGAACATTAGGAATCGCCAGGCCCGCATTTCGTAGCTACTGCTGAGGGTCACACTGAAGTTGTGGGGCAGGATGCTCATGCCCATCAGTGGGCAGTAGATCAGAGCGGCACTCTGCGATTGGGAGCAAAGGGTGACGGCCAAAGGTCGCCACTTCGGCGCATGGAACTCCGTGAGGAAGCCCACCTGTAGGGAGGCTACTCCGGAGAGGCTGTATGAGGTATTGAGGGATGGTTAGACTGGAAACTGCTTTTAAGGAACCACTCACAAGATTCCCACAATCATCCGCATCACGGACAGCGAATAGAGATCCGGCATAAAGGCAGAGATCATCGAACAGCACAGTCCTCCAATTAAACCTATCCGGATAATGAACTTTCTGCCGTACCGGTCCGCCAGGAGGCCAATGAACAATCCGGAGGCCACCATTCCACCTAAGAGGGAGTTGGCCAATAGGGTCTTCTCACCTCGGGAGGTCGCGAAATCGCAGGACGTCAAAATCACCAGATAGCCAGCGCTCATGGACTCCGACACAGAGTACATGTAGACGAAGAAGCTCACGACGAAGATTATCACCTGACCACACCCATATCCTGGTGGAGATCATTGGAAAGTTCGAGTGTCAGTAGCCAAAGTCTATGTGGTTTTACCCATGGTCAATAGGGCGGTGTCCACATCCATTGCCGGCATCTTGAAATCTCAATAAATTCACCTTGCGACATAAACGAGAAACATTATGAAATATGCAATAAAAGACGACTGAATTTCAAAATCAATTGTGATTTAGATGTTGTTTAGCTGCATGCTTTGTTCAGTGTAGCTTTCCCTTTTTTCTTATCTTAGTCCTAGTCCTGTAACGCCTTCCATTCTACGCCCCCGGAAGCCAGTGATGGGAAACACGGAAAGAAATTATGATAACTAAAACGAGATCTATTAAAAATAAATATTTAACAGAAACTAAAAAATTCAATTTGATCATTTTATAAAATTGCATAATTTTTGCCTTAACAATTTGATAGTGCTGCTTTATATATCTGACAAGATAACTTTTTGTACAATCTATGACATTTTCAAGTTATAGCTAGTTATTCTAAAGAAATTAAAATGATTTAATATTGCGATAATAAACAATTTATTTTAAACGTAATCTTTAAATTTGATAGCTTTACGATAACAATTACGCAGTTTTTAAAATAATCTTTAAACAATCCTATCCATAAAACATAATATCATATGGAATTCTATACAGCAATAAACTGCATGATATACCTTATAGAGATCTGCGAACGTTATGATCTTAGATCTATCGGTAGTTTGCCTGAACCCTCTACATAGGTAGCTTTATAGTGATTGGTAGTGTTCCCATCACTGCCAGTAAAACTTGATACTTTGAGTTGAGTTCAAACGCGTTTAAGGATCTCCCAACAGAATGCTCTAACCTCTGAATTTCACCTGAACAGGTGCCAGTCGCGTTGGATTGCCGAGCGGACCGAATAGTCGAAAGAGTTCCGTTCTGGACTTGTCGCAGCAGCAGCAGCAGCAGTTGCAGCAGCTGCAGCAGTTGCAGTTGCAGCAGCAGCAGTACTTGCAGCAGCATCTGCCCATGGGCGTGGCCAATGCGGACACCAGTCCGCCCTCCGAGGACGAGGACAGGCGCTACAGGCCGCGCTGGAAGGGATCAGGAAGCCAGCTGCCGCCCCAGAGTCCCAAGCAGGTGCTCTCCCGGCTCAAGCAGGCCGCCTCCACCTCGAATGTGGCCCAGGTGGACCCCAGTCGACAGGGCCAACTGCTGCCCACCAATCCAATGCAGCAGCAACAACGCAAGGGCAGCATGTTCCAGTTGGGCGAGTCCCAGGCTCTGCAGGCCGTCCAGGGACCCACCACCACGACCACGCTGCAGAGGAAGGGCAGCATGTACGTGGCCAAGGTCACCGAGACCCCGCCCCTGGGCACGCCCACCCGCAAGGGCAGCGTCTACCAGAGAAGTGGAATGGGTTTCGGACTGGGTGTGGATAGCCCCGGACCCGACAGTCCGCAGCGGAAGCAGAGCGTGGTCAAGACCCTCAGCGGGAGCTATGTCAACACTTCCACCACCACAGGTGGGGAGTCCAGCTATGGGCTGAAACTGGGACCCTCGCAGATCCATCCCAAGGGCTACCGCCTGACCACCGCGCGGTACGGGGAGCTCAAGATGGGATTCGTCAAGATCAAGGGCAACGTGGAGGTGGAGGTAAGTGGACTTCAGTTCAAACAAAAAATAAGTGCATTCTTAAGTTTTAAGATCTTAAGTTCAGAAGATCCTTTGAATAGAAACCTAGGAGCTTAAATATTTTAGTGAAGTTGCTACAAAATAACTTTCTAAGTAAAGTAATAATGTCAAAGTCGGGTAATGAGATCTTACAAATAGGTTTATAATAACATCATAGCAATACACAACCGAAAAGTTATAGCCTAGCCTAGCCTATAGCCTTGATTATAGCTTTGCTTACAATGTATGGAAATATGACTTCGACAGTTATGAGCAAGGAGTTTCGGCTTATGGGTCCCTGGGAGATGTCCATTAAACACACATATTTTATTGCCCCTTATGCTATTCCTCGTTTCCAGCTAATCTGTGCCCGTAACATTGTCAACGAGGACTGCGAGACCCCGCCGGATACGTACGTGAAGTGCTACATCAAGGACGGGGACCGCCTGCGCCACAAGAAGAAGACGCGCGTAGTGCGCCACGCGGCGGAGCCCATCTACCGGCAGACCATTAAGTACCAGGTGAGCAAATGGCCCATTGTTGTAGCGCCTGGCAGGTGACGATGATGATGATATAATGGTGGTGATGGGGATGATGATGGCCCCACCATACTGATGCTGACCATGGCCACGTCAGGATGTTATTACCTGCTGCCTGCATTGTAATGCGATTAATGGCTGCTGGCCGGACCGCATCGACGAGGCCAATTTCCGCGAACAGCGGGTGGCTGACAGATGGCCTTAACCCTCTGTGTACCCTAGAGATCTCAAGCCCTTTGAATGTAACTGTGCTGAAAAAAATATTGCTTTGAATTTTAGAACTTTTAAACTGAGTTTGCAGAGCTGAAAAATATTTTAAAACATCAAAAATTAAGTTTTCCAGGTTTAAACGCCAATCGATTGGGAATTTTATTACGAGTTCAGCAAGGTATGGCATTCCATGTTTGGACTGTTACTTTTGTTGTTTCGGCCAAAATACTACTCATTTTTGGGGTAAAA